TTCTGGCAACGGCGAACGCCGGCCACCGATGGAGGTTCACCGGCTCAGGAACGCCCCGCAAGCCAGACCCTCTTGACTTCAAGCCGGTCTTTAGCTCAGCGTCATGGCTGCGCTGTCATGGCGCATAAGAATGCTAGTGCCAATGCGAATGAGCATAATCGTACGCATACGCATAATAATCGTCACCATCGTAAAATGATACTGGTGATGCTATTCATAAACATACTGTTCGCTATTACAATACTTACTAATCACGAACAATACTCTGACATTTGGCATGAATTTCAGTACTGACGAGTCGGATGCACAATAAGGGTTCAAGAACCTTGGAAGGGCATGCCGACGTTTTTTGAACGGGGTGGGCCAGCGGAAGCTGCCAAGCATGGCCCGAAGGGGCACGCATGCGAGGGTGACCTTGGAGCATTGGTACTCCTCACTATGCGCTTTGACTGCAAAGTTAAGTCGGGCCTGGTCCCCCACAGGGGGATTTTCGATAGAAGATACCCCCCAAATGGCAACAAATACTCAAAAAATAGTATGGGGACTATTTTTTGAAGATTTTCTGACCTTTTTGGGGGCATTTTTGGTGTATGTTTGCTTTTTCGTAAAAAATCCCCCTGTAAGGGGACAGGCCCGACCTAATGCAAAAGGCGGATTCGCGCACCGGCTCACGAGAACAGCCTCCCCGGCGCCAGAGGCACCCCAGCAGCGAGGACGGCGCCCAGCGCCGGGGCCGCCACTGGCTGCACGCAGCAGCTCCCTCCCCCTTCCCCGGGGGAGCCCAGAATCGAATCTGACCAGCCTCGAACATATCCCTGTCCCTAAGATTGACACGCCAAGAGGCGATGACAATCTTAGGGATGCGCCCTCAAAAATAAGGGAATCCCTAAGATTGGCATCGTGATGAGGAGATGCCCAGCATAGGGATAGGGATATGTTCCAGGCTGGTAAGAATCGACAAGTCGGACAGGCGATCGAAATGAATCGGATCGGCGGGAATCGGCAGCCGAGTCGGGAGGAATCGAATCGGCGGAGATCGGCAGGCTAGTGGGCCTCCCGTGAGAAGTCGGAGCGCACATCGGGACTCGAAGTCGAATGGGCTCGGCGTCGGAAGCCATGGGCATCGGAATCGACGCGACCCCTGGTGGGGACAAGAGGATGGCAGAGCGGCGAGAGTGAGCACAACGGCGATCGCCACGATGACGACAGCAGCGACGCCGCCACCGCCGCCGGCGCCGGCGCCGACGTCGACGAGCGCGGCGGCGACGCTGGCGTCCCAGTCTCGCCCGACCCGAAGGGGGCAGCAGCGGAGAGAGGGGGAGCGGGGGCAGACCCGGGACAAGGGCCAAGAAACGCTGGGGAGCCCACGCCGGAGAGCAGAGAACAAGGCTGAGAGGTCCTCCAAAGGGCATTGATATATATATATATATATATATATATACATGTATTCTCATACGTACCTCTCCGAGGGAGTAGCGATTAATGCGCACGCGTCCGCGATTTTTCTGGGCGTTTCGCTCGGGACATCCTCGACATTCTGAAAATCGGTGGCACCCCTCACGCAGATCGCGACGTCAGGGTCCAAAAACACATGGGAAATTCACCATTTTAACGTAAAACCTTCAAAAACACATGGTCATCACAATAATTGTGACCCCGATTCTCAGTGAATGGCGGTTTCGCTTGAAAAATCCTTCCAAAATCGAGCCCCAGACCCCGCCTCGGAGCCTCCTGGGGGCCTCCTGGAACCTCCTGGGGCCTCCTGGGGCCTCCTGCGGCCTCCTGGAGCCTCTTGGGCCCTCCTGAAGCCTCCTGGGGTCTCCTGGGGCCTCCTGAGGCCGCCTGGGGCCTCCTGGGGCCTCCTGGGGCTTCAGAACTACATCCACACAGAGACACAAATCACGCCCAACACATCACACGCTAGACAAACATAATACACACACAACACCTACAACACACAAAAAGCACGCACCACACGAAGCATACATCACAAACACACACACACACGCACAACACACAATCCTGGGGCCTCCTGGAGCCTTTTCTGGTATCCAAGTCGGGCCTCCTAAGGCTTCCTGGGGGCCCTGGTAAACACATCGCAAGGTGTGGCAACCCCACTTGCGCTCGAGTGCGACTTCGATGTTGCATTTCACTCCTGCTTCAAACGCCCCTTCAGTTTGTTGTATGAGCCTGGGCATACACGCAGGGCCTTCTATATATATATATATATATATATATATATATATATATAGTTAGAAGGCCCTGCGTGTGCGCGAGCCCGCAGAATCTAAGCATTCGTTGGGGGGCCCTCAGCTGGAGAGAGTCCCCCGCACTGGTGCAGGACCAGCAGCAGGGGGGCGGGCGGGGAGCAGGAGCAGGGGACTTGCCCCTCGCCGCCCGCGGCGGCGTCGGCGTCGCCGTCGTCGTCGTCGTCGTCGTCGTCGTCGTCGTCGTCGTCGGCGTCGTCGTCGGCGTCGTCGTCGGCGTCGTTGGCGTCGTCGGCGTCGTCGGCGTCGTCGGTGTTGTCACCGCCGCTGTCAACGCCACCGTTGTCGATGTCGTCGACGTTGACGTCGAAGAAGGCCTCATCGTCGACGTCGCCTTCAACCTCGTCGTCGACGACGACGTGACCGCCGGCAGCGTCTTAGTCGTCGGCGTCGTGAGCGGGCAAGTCGTCGTCGTTGGCGGCGTCTGCGTCGGCGTTGACGCCTTTGTCGTCGACGTCGAGGTCGTCGCCATCGCTGTCGTCGGAAGGCACATCGTCGCCGCGTTTGTCGTCGTTGTCGGCGAACGGGGGGGGGGACGAGGAGGAGGACGGGTAAGGTAAGTGGTGGGGAGGTATAAGACTCTGCCGGGCTATACATCAATGCGCTATGCATGGGCTCTAGTGGATAGCTCGGGTGAGGGAGAGGAACGGCGGGAGGGGAGGAGATTCCGCACCGCGGGCTGTTCCTTGTTGTTCTTGGGCCCTGGGACTCGAACTAGGCCTCAGGAGTGGGAAGCTGAAAGTCGGGCCACGCCAGATTGAGGCAGACCCAGAGCTCCGACGTCGCTACTTCATCGCAGCGCGGCCCCCGGAGTCCTCGGCTGAGGACGGGCCCAGGACTCGCTGTGCTGGAGGAGGAGGAGGAGGAGGAAGAGGAGGAGGAGGAGGAGGAAAGAGACGTGGAGGAGGAGGAGGAGGAGGAGGAGGAGGAGGAGGAGGAATGGACGTCCGAGCATGACGTCCGAGCGACGGCAGGGAACCCCTCCCCAAAAGAGGCGGCCTCGCTCACGGCCCCCGGGCCCGGCGAGGGTTGGGCCGCGAGAAATGGGGGGGGGGGCGGCAAACGGGGGGGGCAGCGGTGACTGCAGGAAAGAGGCCCTTCAGGGCTTCTGAAAAAGCCTGTCGAGCGGGAGCTCCCCGTGGTCGCAGAAAATGCCGCAGGAGGGAGTCTGGGAGCCGGACAGGCCGCCTTGGCAGAGAGTCGAGATGTCTGGTGGCCCCTGTGTTGAAAAGCTGCTGCATCGGATCGCTGCGGACGGATCATGGGGACTTGGAAACGGGAGGTGGCGAAAATTGTTGCCTGCAGCTGGTTTTCGCCCCAAGCGCTGGGCGTTGTCCTCGACACAGAAATGCCCTCTTCAGCGCCAGGAGGCATCTACGTGAAGTGTTTCGCAAAACCCCCCCGTTTCACTGCCCTCCCTTTCGTCCGACCCGAGAGGAGGGAAGAGGAGGACGCATGGACCGAGGAGGGAGGAGGTAGGAGGGATCAAGAAACGCAGCAATTTGTCAGCAGTTTGTTGCTCAAGATTCCAAGCTCCTTGCCCTGAAGGTACTACAGTTGACGCGCATGGCAAGGACGAGCAGATAACACCCACAAAGGTACCCTTAGCACCCTGGCCTCTTCGCCCCATCCTTAGCCAACCCCCCGGATAACCAATCAGCACAAACAAATAAACGTCGATTCCCCGGAAAATATGGGCAGTGTAAGGAAACACGAAACTCCAGGAAATATTGGAAAGCTGTGGAAATCCGAGGTTGTGTGACTATTTCTGTGTGCCCCCCTGGGCCCCTTTCATATCGTTGACGCCCAGGTAATCCAACGGGGCTGGCATCCTCACCGCGCGTCCTCAACATACGCCCTCTAGGGCCCCGAAGGGGGCCTCCGGGGCCCGAGAAGTGCACCCGTCTCTCCCCCCCCCCATCCAGCGGCTTCCCATCCAGCGACGCCAGAGGAGGACCCGCGGAGTCCGAACACCGAGACCAGAACTCGGTCTTGAAACCTTCGGACCTGGGCCGGAACAACACCCTTCGAGAGCATGAAGACCCTCCGTCGGCCAAACCACACAAGAACATCCGAGGCCACCCCCCATGGGATGCACGAGAACGTCCAACAAGCACGAAGAACACTAGGGTACCCTCCCCGAGCCGACCTTGATCTAATATTAAGTCGGGCATGTCCCCCCCTAAAGGCGGATTTGGGAGGACAAATGAAACATATCTTAAAGTATGCTCAAAGTTATCAAGAAATGCTAGAAACATCCTCCCACGACGATGTTGTTTACTATTTTGAATATTCCTCCTGTCGATCGAATACCTCGGGCTCAAGGGCAGAACCTTCGAGCTGGAAACAGCGCTACAGCGCCGATATATCGTGGATCAGCCCCTCTCGCGAGGCGACGCCGCTGGAAGGTGCCGCGAGACTAGGAGGCCTCTGGGAGCCGACGACCACGCCAAAAAAACTTCTCGAGCCCAGAGCGACGCTGCTTTCGCACCCTAGGAGGAGGAGGAGGAAGAGGAGGAGGAGGAGGAGGAGAACCTGGAGCCCCGAGAGACGCTGCTTTCCCACCCTGTGACGAGAATAATGCTATGATTAGGTCGGGCATGTCCCCCTACAGGGGCGTGCTCGGCGAAAAACTACAAAAATACTCCGAAAATAATCAAGCATGGTGAAACGTCGTCCCCTGACTATTTTTGACTATTTTGGAATATTCCACCTGTAGAGGGACAGGCCCGACTTAATGGTATGATCTCGGGATCCGCTCGAGGAGCTCTGGTTCCTGGAGCCCGCGGGGCACAGCATGAGACCGTGGAGATGAGGGAAAACCTGGGAGGTACCATCATAATGAAATAACGGATTCTTGCGGTTCTTCCCACACGACGGTGCCCGGACAAAAAGTGCCCACACCCATGGCGGGAAGGCGATGCAACATGATAACAACCACAACTCCGAAATGCCCTCACTTCGCACCCCTCCCCCCCAGACCCAAAGGTGAAATGTCCAATTGTTGTCCCTGGCCTTTGGCCTACCGCCTAAACCCGTCAACCTTGAATCTAGGGGAAGGGGGGGTACACATGTTAGTCCGACGTACTTTAATGACTCAAGGTCTTGGCGAGACACGTGTGGACCTTACTGGAGCCTGGAAACGACAAGGCCGTTTTTTTACCGGTTCCGGTTTGCCGTTTGTTTGTCGGTTCCGACGCCGTTTTTCTGCCGGTTCCGTCGCCGTATTTTGACGGGTTCGGGCTCCGGTTCCAATCCTGGAGCCGTTTTTGTTACCGTTTCCGGTCGCCGTTTTTTTTGCCGCTTCCATTCTCAAGGGACATGTTCTGGGAGACGGTGAAGAAACGGCCCTGCCGCTTCCGGGGCCCACGAAGGTGTGGACAGTATCATTCCACCCACACGAGGCCCAGACCCCCGACGTAATGATTTTTTTATTACGTCGACCCCCAGAGGTCCCGACCCTTTCCCCATGACCGGCGTTGCATCCTGAGTCGTTCTTTTACGCTCCCGAGGCCCGGTGAGGGCCTCCAGAGGCCGAAAATTAGGAAAAACCTCCCGTCATGATTTTTTCATTACTCGAGGGGGTCTGGGGGGTGGGGGGTAGACGCCAGGGGGGGGGGGGGAGACGGGCTCAAGGGGAGGACCTCCCCGCCGGCATCAGCGCCGCGTCGCCGACAGATCCGCGGAGGGCCCTCGACAGCGAGCCCGCACGCTGCCGGAAGCGAGGGGCCACCGGGCTCCCGTCGGGCTCCTGCCGGCGAGTGATGGGCGACTGGGGTCGATGGGCTTCGGTCGGGCAGGTCCCCCTACAGGGGGACTTCGGACGAAAAATCAAGACATATATGCAGAACATGCTCGAACATGATCCAAATGCGCCCCAAGAGCGTCCCCAGACCATTTTTGTTGAACTATGTTTGGATTTTCCTGCTGTAGAGGGACAGGCCCGACTCAACGATAGGCCCCTCCCGGAGCCTGTCCACTGCGAACGTTCCGGAGGCGTCCAAGAGGGGGGCGTCCGAGAGGGGCCCGAGGCACGCGCGCGGCCCAGGGGGGGCCGGACGTGTCGAAGTAAGCGGCGGCGCCGCGAAATCTGGGGAGGCATCATGGCCCTGGCTCTGATATCCCCCCCTACAGCCGGACCCAGGCCAGACAGGCATCAGAAAAACACAGCGAACACTCATGCCACATTCATCTGCCACTGGGGATTCGGATTGGCCTGACAGAGAATTCTTGAAAATGACGAGACCCACTCTGAAATTTGACGCGAGCTCCCGCTGCAACCATCCAACGAAAACTGCTGGACAAAAGACGTCGGCAAACCCGAGTCCTGGCGAACTCTCGAGTCTTACGTTTCCACGACCCCCCTTTCACCCTCTTGTTCAGATCTCGTCCAAATGTCGACCAAAAAACCCACGAGGTCCGGCCGTAGCCCCCCCACCCAAAGCCGCGAGGCTTTCTGGACCCACTGAGGCTCCCGATGGAGGACCACACGTCTGCGCCTGTCTGGCGGCCTCGATGGGTCCGAATAGATGGGGTCCGAGGACCGCGCCGCATCGCCGATGCATCGGCGATGCACCGGCGATGCATCGGCGATGCATCGGCGATGCACCAGCGACGACGGCAATGCATCGGCGCCATGGCATGACGAAATCTGGCTCCACATCGAGCCGCATCGCCTTTGCATCGGTGATGCGGAGCGTTCCTCCGACTCCATCAACTCCGACCCCATCTGGGAGGCACAGACTGTCCCCTCCTAGCGTTGCCCCTGCTGATCGGGGACGCACTGACCCTGGTCGATGCAAACCTGGGTCAATCGAGCTTTGCAAGATCCTGCGAAATCCTGCAGGATCCTGCGCCCTAATCCGGGTCAATGCAACCCAGGCTCTGCAGGATGCTGCAAGATCCGGCGCTCTGGCTGACCCCCGTTTGCATTGACCCCTGTCTCTAGGCTTAGGTCGGCCTGTCCTCCTACAGGCGGATTTTGTACTAAAAACTTAACATAGCAAAACAATGCGCTAAAAATGCTCAAACATAGTCAAAAATCGCCACCATATTATTTTTGGACTACTTTGGAATATTCCTCCTGTGGAGGGACAGGCCCGACTTAATTCTACGGTGGGGGCATTGGATAAGGAACCCTTAGATAAGGAATCCAGGGTCTGGAGGCTGGTGAACTCCAATCGAGGCTTGGCCATGGGTGCCACCGCCGCCCTCATCAGACAAGGACTCCTCCGGGGTCTGCAGCATCCTGGGCACAATCCTCAGCCCCCACCGTAGGCTCTCGAGCTGAACCACGCGACGTGGGTCCGTGACGCCGCCGCGCCGCCTGGCACTGGCGCGCGCGACGGGGGAGGCGGGGCACTGGGCCTGCGGCACCCGCAGCAACAGGGCCACCAGGGCCGGCAGAGCCGCCGGCCGCGCCTGGGCGCCGCCGCCGAGTCTCGAGGGAAGCCGCGCGCAGTCTTCTTGTTATGAGGCATCTGATGAGCGTTCTCTCATTCGGCGTTTCGACATTGGGCGGAAGGGGGGGGGGGGGTGGACTGGCTCTGGACCTCTGCTCTCAGTGCGGCTGCTTGCAGCAGCGCGTCCTATGGGGCAAGGGCTCCGCCTGCCTGAAGCAGGCGCCAAAAACAGCCAAGATCTACTCCTTGGGGGGGGGGCGATGGCCCGCGCCGATCGGCAAAACAACGAATAACAAACAATGACCAGTATTGTTTTGCGAGGCAGCTTATAGGAATGGTGCACGAGGTTTGACATCGCTTGCCAGTGAGTCGCGCGCATACCTTTTCTGTTAGGCAGCTTAGTGGGCCTTTTCACGATGAATATTCCTGCTAATCACTCAGCTCTGCTCGCTAACGCCTTGCTGTCACGCTCCAAAAGCGTGGTCCTCGATTTCGGGTACAGAAGCCCGCCCCCCGACGGACTGAGAACGGGGCTCCCGCGGTCACTACAATGTATCTAGGCCCTGTCCAATGAGGCTTCGCAGAAGCCACAGAACAGCGTGTAGTGTACAATTTGCCAGCCCGCTCTACAGGCGAAAGGTGTCAAGCAACTAGGAACACTGTGTTTTGGGCCGCCGTTTGCCAGTAAGTGGTGGACAACCATAACACAACATACTGGACATGTTGCTGGCCACGACTTGAAGAAAATGGAGGGAACCTGGCCGTCAGCTCCTGCAGAGAACCCAGAACACGTTCCATGAGCATGGAAATGGGCAGGGCCCGAAAAACTGGCAAGCGCCGACACTAAGACCGCCTGGGCTGGGAAAGCGGAGGGAAAACCGCCATCAAGGGCTGGACGAAGTGGCAGGGTTGGGTCCAACAACCTTTTCCATCTTCCCTGCGCTGATACGGATTCACTCTGACTGAACCACGACGGCATACTGACCCAACATGCACGTTGTACCACGACAGCACTGCCGTAACATCATGATGGAACGCCCAAAAAGAAATCGAGCGCAGTCGGGGGGCGAATTGCCCCCATCCCTGGTCATCCTCTCGCCACCGCTCGGACTCGGACGTCTATTCCTCATGCATTGTTTGGTTTCGTGCGTGCATTTGTTTCTCAAGATGGCCCAACATGCTCCTCGATGGTCCTCGCAGAGAAACAAATCACACGTCCGAGCGATGCCAAGTCCTCCTCGTCCCCCCCCCCTCCTGCCCCCGGGACCTCCGGGATGGCCAGGACGCACCGCCGACACTCGCGACACCGACGGCGCCGCCGTCGCCGACGACAACGATGACGTCGACAGGCGGCGCCGCCGGACTGCGCCGACTAGAGCGGCGGCACCGCGGCCACAGCAGGCGGCGCCGGCGCCAGCGCCGACGACAGCGCTTAACAACGTCGGCGGCGGCGCTGCCGATGCTGACGACACGGTGGCGGGGGCAACAAGATTTTGGGGCCCTCTGGGGCATAACCCTCGCCGCAACGGCCGAATCCGCGACGGGGCGCCTGGTTGGAACGCGCTCTGGGTCCGAGAAGACTCTGAGGGAGAGGATGATGGGCGTGTTTTCCACCATCACCACCATAAGTTATAGAGGGAGGGGGTCCTCCTCCTCCTCCTCCTCCTCCTCTTCTTCGTCCTCCTCCTCCTCCTCGTCCTGCACCTCCTTCCCCCCTCCAACTTATGGTGGTGGTGGTGGTGGTGGAAAACGTGCCCATCAGAGGAGGACGGGAAGGTCAAGCATTCCGGAGGGGAGCGGGGAGGGCAGGAGTCGTCCTGCAGGCCGCCGGGGCTGGGAAAGCAGAGGGAGACCCGCCAGCCAGGGCTGGAAGACGTGCGAGGGTTGTGTCCAGCCAGGCGGCCTTCCCGCCTCCCTGCGCTGATGCTGCTTCGCCCCGATGAAACAACGAGGGTGCGCGCCGAGTGAACCACGAGGATGGGAGGGACCCGCAGGCTCGTGTCGTGCCGACTTCGGCGTCAGCTTCTGACACCGCGGGGAGCGTTCCACCTGGAACGATCGGACACAGCCGAAACGTCATGTCGTTCAACGCCGACCGACTCTGGGCCGCCGGCGCCGTTCGACGTTGAACGCCAGCGGCGGGGTCGCTGCCGGTCGACGCGGCGCGAGCCTGCCGCAGAGAGCTCCGAAGGGAAGGAAGGCGGGGGCGGAGCCGTCCTGCAGGCCGTCCTGCGCGCCATCGTGCGAGGACGCCGCCTCGCGCGCGAGAGCGCCCGCGAGGCCGCGCAGCGCCGCCAGCTCGTGGTCGCCGAGCCGCGCGTCAGGCCCGGCCTCGCCGGGAGCGGGCGGCGAGGACGGCGACCAGGACGACCAGGAGCATTTGAACAAGAGAAAGATCTGGAATATCTGAAGAACAAGAAAAAACTACGAGAGGTCCCGATTGAACTCTTCTAATGTGTTGGATGCCACGCAGCACGTCTGTGCCGAGACGGCGTCGGCATTGGCTTCAGACCCCGCGCGGGTTGGGGCATCGTCTGGAAATTCAAGGCCAGCCAGCGCCTTGTAAGAAGCAGGCTCTTTCGAAGACGCCTTCCCCCCTCCTCCAACCCCTTGGCCAGCAAGAAAAGGGGGCGCCCTCTGGGGGTCGTTTTCGGACCTCCGGACAATCAAGTACGGATCTGGGGTGAAAAACTGCACCAGATGGACCCCAGGAGGGGTCTGGGGACCGATGTTGCCCCCTCCAACTCTTGACCGATTATCTGGGCTCCTAACCAATTCAGCGCCCCAGCCTTCTGATAGGCGGGGCTGCTTCCAAGAAGCCGTTCTCCCTCCCCCATTCCCCCCCGTCTTGCTGGCCAGAACCAGTGCCTGGCCGAGGAAAACGAACTCATCATGAAAACCTGGTCATGGGAAGTAGTCGGGACCTCGTGAGCCAATCACAAAAGCGTGCGTCTGGGGAAGAGGACAGAGAAGGACGAAATCGAGGATCGAGGGCAGAGGGGTTCGAATATGGATAGGCAGGTAAAGACCCGAACTCTATACACCGACGATTTTTCCAGCCCTGCACTGAAGTTTGACGAGGACAACGAATCCTGTCGCACACGGGATACTCGTGTGTACGTGTTCCGTTGCTTCCCCTGGAAGCGGACACAAACAGTAGACACCACACCGCCCCGACGTCGCCCCCTGGCCCTCACCAAAAAACCTGGGATCGAGATGGGCACGGACGTCCGAGATGGGCACGGAAGAAATGGGTACAATGCCGAACAACACATGTTATCCAGAACCCACGGCGGACGCTGTTGGGCAGGCGGCTTTTTGTCTTCCGGCAAGAGCGTCCGCGGCGGCGCGGGCAGCGAGTCCTGCTCACAATGAGCAGGAACTGCTGTGGGGCATCGCACTCCGAGCTTCTTAATGCGCGTTGGGGGGGCGTCACCCCCGCCGCCAGCCCCGCATCGACACCCGTCGCGGGCAGCCACCGCGCGCCGAGGGCGCTCCGACCCACGTCGCGGAGCGACGACGAGGCGAGGTTGACCATGTCGGGGGGTGCCCCCCTACGCTTTTACCAAGACATCCAGAAGGCCCATGTCGATCGTCCCGAGAGCAGGCTCCAGGAGCCCTCAAGACCCCCCGCCGGCTCCAACCGGGCACTCCGTCCTCCCACGAGGCGCCCGCGCTTGAAGGGGCCGCGCCGCCGCGTCGGCGCTGCGCGCGGCGCGGGCCGCGCCCCCCCTGCGCAGGGCGGCGAGAGGCGCCACCCCCGCCCCGCCCGCGCGCCCCTCGATCCGTGGACCGCTCGTAGGGGGACGGACGATGACCTGCAGTCGGGCTGCTGACACAAGGAGCGCTAAATCAGGAACGAAGCCCATCTTTTGGGGCCCCATAAGCGCCTTCGTTCACGAAGAGGGCTAGGGGAAGAGCCACGGAAGAATCTGATGAACAGCGAGCCCCTTTCTTTCAGACTTCGGCTCGAGCCCCTTCCGAAGCCAAAAAGGCCCTTGTTTCGACGCCTTGACCGTAGACGTAAAACTCGGAGGTCCGCGCGGATTCCCCGGATCGGCGCTGGGACCCCCTGGCGGCGCCTCCAGCCTCCAGCGCCGCCCTTGGCGCGCTCCGCGCGCCATGGAGGGGGGGTCCCAGCGCCGATCCGGGGAATCCGCGCGGACCTCAGAGGTTTGATGCTTATGCCATTTGTGGCTCCCCGACTTCGGGGGCGTCCAATCGGGCGTCCAACTTTGCAGCCCACGCCGGGGAACCACTTCGTGTGACCCTCCCCCTCCGCCCCCGACCTACTACTGAACAAGCGTCTACAGAGAAGCGCCGGAAGCGTTCTGGTCGAGTGCTGCCAGAAGTGCCCCTGGCCCGAGGTGCCCCCCCAGGATTTCCAAGGAGGCCCCCACGGCCACCAGGGCCCCCCCCCACGAGGCCCAGAAGGCCCCAGAGGCCCAAAAATGGGGCGAAGAGCTGGATGCACCTGGGTTGTGCAGGGACCGACCGTCCCGGCATTCCTATATTCCTACAACGAAATGTTCTTAGAACCCAGAACTGTTCTAAGAACAAAAACAATGTTCTTAGAACATTAGCCCGATGTGTTAAAACAAGACAATATCAACCAGAACTTTTCTAAGAACACTTCGTGGAAACCACAGAAGGTTCTTAGAACATTGTTTGGCAGGGCTATAGGCCAGCCAGGACGCTTCGCCACTTCTTGACTGGGCAAGGGGCGCCTGCAGCAGCCCCCGAGAAGAGGGGTGCGTCCAAGAGGGGGGTCCGCAAAGCATGGCGGGAGGCACGCGCACGGACGCGGGGGGGGGGGGGGGGGGCAAGGGCCGCATCCCAACATTCAAACGGGGGGGGGCAGGGAAGCCCGGGCGAGGCCACGCTCCGGCCACGACAACCCCGAGGGAAGGAACAGACTTTGCAACACGCGCGGGGGAACCACTTCGCGTGACCTCCCCCGCCCCTCCGCCCCCGACCTGCTATTGAACAAGCGTTCCAAGAGAATCGGGACCAGAAAAAGCCTCCGGAACACCCGCAAGGCCTCCCCAGAGACCCCCCTGCGAGGCCCAGAGGGCCCCAGGGGCTCCAAAATGAAGCGAAAATCGCCCCCGACCCACTGCTGAACGTTCGTGCCCGGAGAGGTGGGGCCAGAAGGAGCCTGAGATCCCAACTCCCAGATCCCTCGAGGCAGCATCTGGCCGTGGGCGCCAAGCCCGCAAGGGCTACAGAGCGTTGTGAAAGACGGTAACTAGACGGGGCAAGGACAACGGAGAGGGATAAGAAGGATAAGAGGACGTCAATAGCAAAGGGTACCCATACCGCTACCCTTCGCCCGTTGTCCCATTTCTGGCCCTCCTGGGAGGCACTCGTCGCTACGGCTGGACTCGCCTCGAAGTCCTGGTCAGAGCGCACCCTGGGAGAGGTCCAGGGAATAGCGGTGTCGGCACCTTTGGATTTCTCCAAAGGAGACGGGCCAAGAAGAACGAAGCGGGAGGAAAAGGATAAAAGAGGACGGACATCGAGGACCGAAGCATGGCACCAACGTAAGCTTGAGGAGGTTCGCGCGGACTTCTCGGGTCGGGGCTGGGGCCCCATGTCAGGGGGGAGGGTCCAGCGCCGATCTGAGGAATACGCATGGAGCTCCGAACACGTATGTTTATGCCGACGTTTGCCCCTCGAGCAGATCGCAAATCAGCAGCCTGATGGTCGGGAGTTGCGGATGGTTGAGAGTGAGGTCATAGTCCCAGGCCCTCATCCTCCTCACCCCTCCTCCCATATCCTCGTCCTCCTGGATCCTCCTCCTCCTCCTCCTCCTCCTCCTCCTCCTCCTCGGTCTTCGGCTACTCGTCCTCCTCCTCCTCGATCTTCGGCAATACTCGTCCTCCTCATGCTCCTCCTCCTCTCCTTCCTCCGCCTCCTCCTCCTCCTCCTCATTGATCCTCCCCCTCCTTCTCGATCCTCCTCCTCCTCCTCCTCCTCCTCTCCTCCTCCTCCTCCTCATTGGTCCTCCCCCTCCTCCTCCTCCTCCTCTTCCCTCCTCCTCCTCCTCCTCCTCCTCCTCCTCCTCCTCCTCCTCGTCCTCCTGCTCCTCCTCCTCGTCCTCCTGCTCCTCCTCCTCCTCCTCCTCCTCCTCCCCCTCCTGGACGCCCCCGGGCCCACCCCGCCCGCGCGCCCCCGCTCCTCGGACGCCGGGAGGAGCGGCCCGCCCCGCGAGAGCGGAGCCCAGCCCGCGCTGCAGGCGGCGGGGGGGCCCTCGGTCCCGTCAGATGTACAGAGGCCTCCTGGATGGGTCGAGGGCGTCCCAGGAGAGGGGCGTGCAAGAAAGGGGGAGCCCTCGAGGGATCATTGTGGTATAATGCGCGTTCCCTCTGTTTCTCAAGCTCACACTGCGTCACTACCCTAATCCCTTTATATCCTGCTATACTTTATTCCTTTTTATGAGAATTCACAATCGTTAGTTCACTTGTCCCTAATAACTCCTTGTGTCGATCCTCTTCTCTTCCTTTTCGTCATGACTTTCGCAGACTGTTCTATTCCCTTTCCCCGCCCTCCCACGTCCTCCTGATCATCCTCCTGCTCTTCCTCTTTCTCCTCTTCCTCGTCCTGCTCCCCCTACGCACATTTTCATCGCCATCATCGTCATTCTCGTCATCATCGCAGCCAGCATGTCATCATCGCCATCATCATCACCATGATGTTCGCCGTCGTTGTGGCAAGCGTCGTTGTGGCCTCCTCGATTCCTCCTACTACGATGACCCAGGCGTCGAGACTGTAGAAGTCGCGCTGTGCATTTTTCCCCCGGAGTGGCGGGGGCGCAGCTCGGGGGAAAATTCAACAGACTATAAAGCCACTGTCGTGACGAAGTATACGATCACGCGCCTATGGATGTAAGCTCTTGAGGCTCTACGGAAACACCCGACGTGGCTGGATTGAGCCCTACAAGGGGTCCAATAATCCCAAAGAGACCCCGCCAAGGTGTTATCATCCTCCTCCTACTCCATCACCGCCCTAATTCCTCATCTCCTCTTCCTTATCCGCTTCTTCTTCCTATTCACATTACTCCTCATCATTTTACTTCACTTCCCCTCTCCTTGCCCCCTCCTGTCCTCATCATTTTCCTCCCCGCTACCCCTGTCGCTCTCTCCCTGTTCCTCCCTTCCACCACCCCATCATCATCATCACCCTTGTGCTGTATCCGTCTCCTTCGCCATTTCTTTATTATTCTCCCCCCTCCTCCTCCTCCTCCTCGTCCTCTTTCACCTCCCACTCCACCTCGCCCTCTCCTCGTGGTCGTCGTCATCCTCCTCATATTCCTCCTCCTCCTCCTCCTC